AGCTTCTGATCTGAGTGATTATCCCTTATGGGATACTCCAAAATAGATATAAAAATTGAATCCCGACTGGCGCAAGTATTCGGTTGATAACCCTTACGGGGAATAATAAATAGTCCAGTCTTTGAGCATAGAAAATAGACCCATGATCATGAATTCATGTTGCATGTATCCGGAGCAAGTCCAAATTGAAGATATAATACTTGTATTTGAGCTAGTAAGCCCCTGAGCACGTAGTCACAATTGTTCATTGATGGTAGCTGACGCAGTTGGCATAGAGACAAGACAACCAATATAGAGAGAATATTGCCCACCAGAGGTGGCAAAAATATTGGTGGTAGTGAAGATAGTGATACCAATCAAAAGTGATGAAGTTGCACAGCCACAGAGGCGAAGAAACCAGTCGGCAGCAATCAGGTCAGCTAGCAATGAAGATGTAGGCGCCCAACAACAACGAAAGAACAGTCGGTGGTGACAAAAGCAAACCGACGATGAAGACGTAGACGCGCATCAACGGTGATGGCGAAATCCACCAATCATGAAGATGAAGAAAATAATCGGCGGCGACAAACGCATCCGACGGTAATGATGATTAGCGGCAACAGAGATAGCCGACTATGATGACGAAGTTTCCCATCAACGGCAGCAGAGTAGGCTATGTTGATGAGGCTTGACAAGATGTTGATGAAGATGACGATGTCGGTGATCCAGTCAATAGCGATGTAGCAGCCGATGATAACGATGAGATCCTCTATCGGCAGTTGCGTAGTAGGCCAACCGTGAAGACAAATAATTGGAGGAGAGTTGATGTTGTTGCCCAACTCGTCTAAACCGAAATATTTGAAGTTGTTGAAGTAGAATGTCTGTTCCGAAGCAAAGATGAAGATAATGACTCCTGGAGTTGACTCATTGGCTGATTAATTGATTTCTTCAGCTTGACATAAAATTTGTCAAATTTTGAGCCTTGTATTTGTGTAGCCCCCGACTCTTTGATTAGTTGGGAAACAACTGAACATAGAGTCGAGAACTGTAGCTTCTTGTCGTCGAATAGTCATTGCTTGATTGAAGATATGTGTTGAAGATGTCCAAGTAGAAATCCTGAATATTGGAGAGCCACTTGTTGTAGTAAAATATCATGGCATTGCATGCCGAGATGTCGAGGTTCACAAAGACGTCGTGGTTGGTGAAGTAGTAAAACTTGCGAAGTAGCAGCAATAGAGTTTGCCAGTGCCGAAGATAATAAAGATGAAGTCGCTCCACCATGATGACAAAGTTGCATCGCCGTGATGAAGTGAACACGAGTCGGCGGCAACAGAAGCAAACTGGTAGTGAAGACGCGCAGTTGTGAAGATAAAAGCACCAGTCGGCGGCGGCATAACCAGTCGGCGACGGAAGATGATGATGTCCATCAGTAGTGGTAGCTGTATAAACCAGACGTAGAGGTAAGGGCACTAGTCAGCAGCAGACGAGACGACCGGCGATGAAGATGTAGATGCCCAACAACGGCGGCATAATAGGCCAGCCGTGCAGGTGGAAACACCAGTCGGCGACGGACGAGGCGGCCGGTCGGTGAAGACGTAGACGCCCAACAACGGCGGCATAATAGGCCAGCCGTGCAGGCGGAAACACCAGTCGGCGGCGGACGAGGCAGCCGGTCGGTGAAGACGTAGACGCCCAACAACGGCGGCATAATAGGCCAGCGAGCAGGCGGAAACACCAGTCGGCGGCGGACGAGGCGGCCGGTCGGTGAAGACGTATACGCCCAACAACGGCGGCATAATAGGCCAGCCGTGCAGGCGGAAACACCAGTCGGCGGCGGACGAAGCGGCCGGTCGGTGAAGACGTAGACGCCCAACAACGGCGGCATAATAGGCCAGCGAGCAGGCGGAAACACCAGTCGGCGGCGGACGAGGCGGCCAGTCGGTGAAGTTGTAGACGCCCAACAGCGGCGGCTTAATAGACCAGCCGTGCAGGCGAAAACACCAGTCGGCGGCGGACGAGGCGGCCGGTCGGTGAAGACGTAGACGCCCAACAACGGTGGCATAATAGGCCAGCCGTGCAGGCGGAAACACCAGTCGGCGGCGGACGAGGTGGCCGGTCGGTGAAGACGTGGATGCCCATGAACGGTGGTGTGACCAACCAACCGTTTAGGCGAGGACACCAGTCGGCGGCGACGGAGGCAAGCCGATGGTGATGTTCTGACTGATCCATTCCTGGAGCGTAAGAGATAAGCTTAAAGCCATGAATCCCTTTTATGCATATCTGGATTTGGATCCTGCAGAACAAACATATAGGATGAGTAGTATCTGATGTAAATACAATACTCGAGAAAAATGCAAGTATTTTAAAATATTTATAAATATGTATTTCTCCTCTTGTCAATTTTGATTTCCCCGAGCAGATGACTCCATACGTTTAAACACTCTGCCCGACTAGTCATAGTCCCCAAGCATCGGGAGTCGGCCTAGGCATTTCCCAAACATGCATATGAGTGACATGAGTTCGTCATTAATGGAACAAAGTTTCACGGATCAGAATTTACTACTCGGGTACTTTTGCAATTATTAAGAGCAGAAAATAAATTTATCTCATCTCTATGCTTTTGATTTATTCCGAATAATACTTAGCACCTTGCGTTATTCGGTCCATCCAACGAGCCCCCGGGTGCTAGGAATCGGCCCAAAGGCAACTATCCATTGGCAAACCAAACGGAAAGCATAGGAAGATGGAACTCCATAACTCGATAGGCACTTTTGTACTCAGATTATGTCGCAAGCAATCAAGATGAATATTATGGAAATTATTAAAAAGTATGATAAAAAAATATGATATAACATCTGTAGCCCCCGACTCACTACTCAATGGAAGACCAATTGGTGTAGTGAGACAGAGGAAAAGGAAAAATATCATATAAAGAATAAAATAAATGATGACTTAGCTTTGTCGTATTCCCTCGGTGGCAGCAGAAGTAGCCGATGTGGGAACGAAACAGTCCATCAATGGTAACAAAAACACCAGTCGGCGCCAGTGGAACCAAGCCAGTGGTGTAGATGATGAAGCCCATTAACGGCCGCGGAGTCCGCCAACCGTATAGGCGAGAACACCAGTCGGCGGCGACAGAGGCAGGCTGGCGGTGAAGTCATAGATGCCCAACAACGGCGGCATAAGAGGCTAGCCGTGCAGGCGGAAACATCAGTCGGCGGCGGCGAAGGCCAGCCGGTCGGTGAAGACGTAGACGCCTAACAACGGTGGCATAATAGGCCAGCCGTGTAGGCGGAGACACCAGTCGGCGGTGGCGAAGGCAAGCCGGTCGGTGAAGACGTAGACACCCATGAACGGTGGTGTGACCAACCAACCGTATAGGTGAGGACACCAGTCGGCGGCGACAGAGGCAGGCCGACGGTGAAGTCGTAGACGCCCAACAACGGCGGCATAATAGGCCAGCCGTGCAGGCGGAGACACCAGTCGGCGGCAGACGAGGCGGCCGGTCGGTGAAGACGTAGATGCCCAACAACGGTGGTGTGACCAACCAACCGTATAAGCGGAAACACCAGTCGGCAGCGACGAAAGCGGGCCGGCGGTGAAGAGGGTGTTGCCATCAACAACGGCGGCAAGTACACCAACCGTGGAGGCGTGTAATCCAATCGGCAGCGACGAGGGCGGCGGCGGTACGTGCATAAAAATAACAGATCAAATTATAATTAGTGATCTGTCAATTAGAAGACTAGAAAACCCAAGATTAATCTTATTTATGTAAGAAAATTAGAACGATAAACCTGGTAATGGCAAATACTAGCTGGTGAAGTGTCAATGACTTGATGAAAATATGCATATATAGATAACTCCACGTAGCGTACTGCTCTTAATTCAACCGTGGCCGAATAAAACTCAGATTGGAAAAACAGCCGATCGGGAGTTTGCTTGTGGATCGTCGATCACCTCTCGCGTGGTTTATAGAAAGAAAGAATCAATCTCGATTTTGTACTTCCTGTATCCTTTGCAGGCGCGTGCTCATGATTGTCGATCTGTGTTGCTTGCTCCTGGCGCATCTTGCAAGCATGCACGTATATGTTGATGGAAGAATACACATGCGTGACTAGTTGAGAAGGCTCCAGATATACGATGGCTTCAAGTCTCTCCAATCAGCAAGATGACTCGGGGGCTGATGCCTGGTTGTAGATTGATTTGATCGGAAATTGATTCCAATGGCGATAGAACCCAGAAAACCCGCAAAGATGATGCCGACGACACATGTTGATTCCATCGCACTTCTTGATGGAAAACTCGACGCTTCCCCTACCTGGCGCGCCAACTGTCGAAACATGATTTCGGCAATAATAAAAAGGGGTAGCGCACGAGACCTAAAAGTGGATGGATGCAGAGACAAAGGATTTAGACAGGTTCAGGCCCTCTCAATGAGAGGTAATACCCTACTCCTGTTTGGGGATTTGAATCCACCGGGTGTGTATTGATCTGACGATCAAGTTGTCTCATGCCCCCTAGAGGGCTTCCTGCCCACCTTATATAGGATGGGGGGCAGGATTACAAGATAGAAACCTTAACCAATACGGTATAGGTTTCCTAAATCTAATTTACAATATTATCAAACCAGGACTTTAGGCTGTTCCGTAATATATAAGGAAACGTAATACCCGAGTCATGATCTATTACATATTCCATAGATATAAGTTATCCCCTATGACTAGTCGGATAACCATGCCGTATGGGTATGGGGTACCCATAATATCCACAAGACTACATCTCTTTAATTCGCGATCTCATTTGACTCTAAACTATAATAGTTTCTTCGAAGTTTTCAATTATTAAGAAAAAAGAAAGACATTGGAGTAAACAATTATAAAACTACAGTTGTCCTTTTTATTGCCCGATTCGATCTGCCTACCCAAATCGGCACTATGTCTTTATCTGTCATCATCCCAGTTGACTTAATTACCAGTTTTCTCCTCGCGAAGCACGCGACTAATATTAACGAATTAATGACAGAGAACCCTGATCAGTTCTTAAATATAAATCCAACCTCCATATCCACCTGTAGATCGATATACGCGCAGCCAAATAAAAGATACTCCATAAATGGAAAGAGAAGACTGATCGACGAAGGAGAAGGAGAAGAAGCATCATCTGCACATCCGGAGAGAACGCGATGGAGCGTCCTCTGCATCTTCTGCTCGTCTTCCTCTCCTCGCCATGGCTGCTGCTGCTGCAAGGCGTGAGCTCGCTGCAGTTCACGCGGGATGACTTCCCCCACGACTTCGCGTTTGGAGCTGGGACTTCGGCTTACCAGGTAATACGTGTATGTATGTATAGGAGAGATGATTCTGAATTTTCTCTGAATTTCCTGCCTGATTCTGAATTACAAAGGACAGGCTTGACATGCATGCATGTGTATGTTTCATTTGGTTGGTCGTTTTGGATTTTGCAGTATGAGGGGGGAGCTGCTGAGGATGGGAGGACCCCAAGCATCTGGGACACCTACACACATTCAGGTATGGCTTATGAGCACTCGCAATAATCTCTCTCTGATTTTTTTTATTTGAACGAAACTCTCTCTGAATTTGGATTATTGAAAGAATTCTCTGGGGGTTTCGATTGGTCTACTGCCAAATTGCTTCCTAACCAATGTTAGCTTTCTTCCATTGTCTAAAAGATTGGTATGCTAGTTTGGAGTTCAACGTAAAATCGATCCTTTTCCTTTTCAGATAGCTCGACAATTTTTGTAGATGGAAGTACATGATAAATTGTTTAAGTGAGTTTTTATATATTAATGCTGAAAATAAGTAGGCATGATAATGTTTTTTACCTATGTCAATTTGACTTGTCAAGTTGCTTCCATTATTAAAAGAAAAAAAGTCAATTTGACACGTGGTCTGCTGCATCAGGGAGGCATCCAGAAGATGAAACAGGTGATGTGGCCTCTGATGGCTACCATAAGTACAAGGTATGATTCGATAAAAAAAGAACATACTCCCTCCGTTACATGAAAAACCAATCTAATACTGGATGCGACACATTATAGTACTGTAAATCTAGACAGAGGCTTGCCTAGATTCGTAGTACTAAGATGTGTCACATCTAGTATTAGGTTAATTTTTATCGGACAGAGGGTGTATATTAGTTGGATCACCTATGGATTTTAAAAATTCTAAGAAATCTCTTTACGTTTGTAACCTTTGTTCATTCCGGATTTTTCTATAGGAAGATGTCAAGCTAATGAGTGAGATAGGCCTAGAGGCTTATAGGTTCACCATTTCTTGGTCAAGGCTCATTCCTAGTATGGCAACTACATATCAAGTTTCTATTCTCCGTACCGTATCATCAGTGATGATGTGTTATCTTCCTCACCACATGTTCTGATTTTAAGTTTGGACAATCCAGGTGGAAGAGGAGCGGTTAATCTAAAGGCGCTGCAATTTTACAACAGTATGATAAATGAGCTAGTGAAAGCAGGCAAGTATACCTTGATTCCATCAAATATATTGAGGATATAAGTTGGGGATTGAACTGCTTATGCATTGTGTTAGTATGTACGAGGGAGATTGAGAGAGATTTCACGCAGCTCAAGCGCAGTGCTGGCTGGATTTCGATTAAATAGCCGTTTGAATAAATACTGGAAATTGAATATACTTGCTATACAAATCATACTCAAGGAGGGTAGTTGAAGGGAGAGTTTGGTCCCTCATCCATTAGCCCTAGCTGCTGCAACCCCCTTCATTCACCTCGTCACTAGCTGCCAAAGGGAGCCATTGTTCCCCAATTGATGAGCAAAGAAGGTGCCGGAGCCACCCAAACCCGTAGAAGCCATAGGAGACATTCGAGCAAGGGCGGCAGGAGAAGCGACGTATCATGGTGGGACGGTGTGTGCAGTTGGCATGTGGCGAATGAGTCGAATCGTCAAGTGACCAAACATAGAGACTAGACCTGAAATCCTAGAATAATTGTCTCCGTAATCCTTTGGTCATAATGTCAGTGAATTGGTGTGATAAGGGAACGCGGGGAACATGAACATGACCAATGGCCACCTTTTCACTAATGAAGCGAATGCCGATCTCAATATGCTTTGTACGCTTGTGCTGAACCAGATTAGTGGAGAGGTAGATGGTGTTCCCATTGTCACAGAAGACAACGGTGACAGAGGAGAGAGGAGCATGTAGCTCACAAAGCAGCCGACGAAGCCAACAACATTCGGTGATGGCGGTAGGCAATAGCTCGATATTTGGCCTTGGCACTAGAGCAGGAGACCATGGCCTACCTAGTCGGTGTCGGTGTAGTCAATGAGCGACATTGTCGTAGTAGCATGAAGAACCGAGTCATGGCCAAGTATCCCTATGACATATCGTAGGATGCGCTTGATCAAGGCAAGTTTACAAAGACACACCTACTGGATGGCATAGGGGAGGTTAGGCCGAGTTAGAGTGAGGTACTAATTAAAGCGCCCTAGTAAGGCGTACTAATCAAATCCGGAAAGTTGCATTTACATAGAATCGAGTAGAAGTACTTGCTGTATAAAATCCTACTAAATCAATCAAGTACATAAAATTGAGTTAGGTCTAAGGGCATATATTAAGTATAGAATATGGAAAAAGACTAAAATGCCAACACATACCCTTAACAACCCCACTTAGATGCAATGTGATGCAATAAAATTGCACTTGAAAGGTAAAATAAACAAAAGACTAAACACTGGGACAAATCCAAAGTCCATGTTTGGGAACGAGAGGGAGAGATGGGCGCGGTCGAGCCAAAGAGGAGACGTTGGTTATGTGCTCATGTGAAGTAGAAGCCAGTCGACTCAGGTGCGGTGGCACGAGGAAGGTCATATTAGATCAAGAAGGGTCCGAGGCGATAAACAGACGTACCTGCTGCTTGACGACGAAGATGAACTACGTGACTAAGAAGGACAATCGAAAACGAGAAGAAGATTGCTCCCGGGTAATCGCTCCTCCCAGGAGCAAACGACGACAGAAGTGTTAGAGCTGCTAAGGTTTGGGTCATTTAGGATCTCTGCTTTAGTACCATGTCAAATATTAACGATAGAAGTTTGGGATTAAACTGCATATGTATTGTACTAAGCCTAATGGACATATACTGATCAGTACAATAGATGGGAAAAGACTCAAATACCCACACATACCCTTAACAGATTCTCCTATCAATTTTAACCTATCTTCAATTGCACGTATACTTGCCCTCTGAAAAGAAAGGTAGTCTCAAAATGAAACTAATGTGCATTCACTAATGTACACTTACGTAATCACCTATAACAGAGTCATCAATTTTAATAAAAATATGATGAATGGTAAGTAACATATGATGAGATCAGCCTTTCTATTTCTAATTCATGAACAGGTATTCAGATACATGTTGTCATGTATCACATGGACCTTCCTCAAAGTCTTCAAGATGAGTATGGTGGGTGGATTAGCCCCAAAATTGTGTAAGCACTGAGCAATAATTTCATAATCATGAATTATAGGAGTCATCAGAAAGTTAATCCTCTTGCCTTTGTGTTGTAGAGATGACTTCACAGCATATGCTGATGTGTGCTTCCGCGAGTTCGGTGACAGAGTTGTGCATTGGACAACTGTACTTGAACCAAATGCAATGGCTCAAGCTGGCTATGACATGGGGATTCTGCCGCCTAACCGTTGCTCATATCCATTTGGCAGCAATTGTACAGCTGGAAATTCCAGTGTTGAGCCATACTTGTTTATACACCATAGCCTGCTAGCTCATGCTTCAGCTGTTAGACTTTACAGGGAGAAGTACAAGGTGGGTATGCATTACAATCTGAACTTTTCTGCTTCTTCTGAATATCTTTTGAAAATTTCTGTGTGTTCTAAATTATTTTTATGAATTGAAGAAACTGAATTTAACTGTTTCAGGTTGCACAGAAGGGCATTATTGGCATAAATATATACTCCATGTGGTTCTACCCATTCACAGATTCAGCTGAAGAAATTGGTGCCACTGAAAGGGCAAAGAAGTTCATTTATGGCTGGTATTGTCATGTTATATATAATATCTCTTAGTGTATTACTATATGCATACTCCTCACTTTAATTACTGTTCCTATAGCATTTCAAGTTCAAGTTAATTATTTGTTAATAGTGGAAATATGGGGAAAATCTGACACGATAATTAGAATGGGGAAAATACATGCCTCTCCAGAACAAAGTTATCTCTTGTGTTCCCTCTTGATTTGGTTGTAAGTTGTTACCAGCCACTTCAGTGAACTCTACTGTTATTGCATCTTACTATAATTTTTATATTTCTCACTGTATTACTAAATTCACTCCTCAGTTTACCCTACCTTTGAACTTTCATGTTCAAGTTAATTATTTGTTCATAGTAGAAATATGGGGAAAGTCTGACAAAACGATAATTACCCAGGGGAAACACATGCGGCACTCTAGTACAATTCTAGTGTTCCTTGTAGATTTGGTTGTAAGCTTATTAACAGTCAATTCGGTGAATTCTACTGTTATTGCATCCTTAATTTTCATAGTTGACTCTGAATCCCGACATTGTGTCATGTAACCAAATTTGCAGGATCTTGCATCCTTTGGTGTTCGGAGATTACCCAGATACCATGAAGAAGGCCGCTGGTTCCCGCCTTCCGATCTTCTCTAACCATGAATCTGAGATGGTTACTAATTCGTTCGACTTCATTGGATTGAATCATTATTCCTCAGTCTACACGAGCAATAATAATAACGTAGTAAAGGCACCGTTACAGGACTTGACTGCTGACGTTGCTACTTTGTTCAGAGGTTGAAAATTCATATGGATATGCTTTTATTGTGCATATATTTTAAAAGTATATGAAGTTCACTCATTTTGCGTGTGTGTGTGTATGTGTTTGCAGTGACCAAGAATGACACACCTACTCCAGTGGTGATAACCGATATTACTATTTTTGCTGAAAACTACTGAACTTATCGTAACTTCTGCAGGCTGTAAAATGGTTTTGCTTGTTGCTCTTGAAACAGTTTGTACCAGGAACCATAGTAGATCCTCGGGGGCTAGAGCATGCACTTAAATATATTCGGGAAAAGTACGGAAATTTGCCGATTTATATCCAGGAAAATGGTTAGTTCAATCCCTTCAATTATGTAGCACTCGCAGAGTCTCAGCTGTTAACTTTAAGGTTCAGAAAAATATGATTTATAGCTCATATTCTGTCACTAATTTCACTTGGCATTGCATCAGGCAGTGGATCATCAAGTGAAACCCTGGATGATGTGGAGAGGATTAACTACTTAGCAAAATACATCGCAGCCACACTGAAAGCCATCAGGTGCTTAAGCCTTGTGCTTCACTAACTGATCTACTCTTTCTCTAGTAGAATATTTCCATATACTCTAAGTACACATCTCTCCCTAATCATAAGATTTCACTCGTGGATCTTAATACTGAATGACTCATCGATGGATCGATCGATTGATTGTAGGAGTGGTGCCAATGTGAAGGGGTACTCCATGTGGTCATTTGTTGATCTCTACGAGCTCTTTGGTGGTTACTCCACTTGGCATTTTGGCCTTGTTGCTGTCGATTTCGACAGCGAAAAACGGAGAAGGCAGCCGAGACGCTCTGCTAGCTGGTATTCAGAGTTCCTGAAGAACAATTCAGTCATCAGGGTGGAGGAGGATGGTTTTGTCTCTGCAGCCTCTCATGCTCAGCTCTGAGTGCTGCCACTCTGAAACCATCCTATTCTCCTGCATTCCAGTGATATGAATATATGATGATGTATTAGAGTTCAGAGATGGAAATTGTAAAGGTGTACTACGTCTGCAAAGTGCAAACTACTCAGAGTTCATGCTGATATTATCTTCAGTTTAGAATTGTACACACAAAGTTTCAAAAGATTTTTCAAAATTTTCAGTAGAAAGCTTTTAAATTTGAGTTGAAAGCATTGAAAATTGAATTGAAAGCATCGAATTTTCGTTGATTTTTGTTTTTTGAATTTTTGAGTTCAAAGTTTAAATTTTTAGATAGAAAGTTCACTGATTTTTTTTTCAAATTTCAATCAACACTTTCCATTTGAGAAAAGAAACGCGAGTGGACGAGCTGGAACATGTGGCCCTAGCGAAGCTGTTCGTCCCCTGAAATCTATTATATTATTAAAACAGCTTTGAAAGGAGTCACTACGTTCACTGTCAGAGCTAGAAATTCCCATATTAATATGAGAAAAAGAAAAAAAAAAGAAAATGAGAGTCCAAGTAGAAGTACAATTTAAAAATAGCTGAAATTCGGAATTAAAATAAGCAATATTGAAAGAAGTTTCCATATAAGAACCCAATACGACATTAATCAAAATTCAAAATAAAAATAAAATAAAATCCAAAATTAGAAAAGGAAAGGAGAGTGCAAGTAGAAATACAATTTAAAAATAGCTGAAATTCGGAATTAAAAATAAGCAATATTGAAAGAAGTTTCCATATAAGAACCCAATACGAGATTAATCAAAATTCAAAATAAAAATAAAATAAAATCCAAAATTAGAAAAGAAAATGAGAGTCCAAGTATGAATACAATTTAAAAATAGCTGAAATTTGGAATTAAAAATAAGGAATATTAAAAGAAGAGTCTGTATAAGAACCCAATACGAGATTAATTAAAATTTAGAATAAAAATAAATAAATCCGAAATTAGCAAAAGAAAATAAAAAAAGAGTTCAAGTAGGAATACAATTTAAAATTAGCTGAAATTCGGAATTAAAAATAAGCAATATTGAAAGAAGAATCCATATAAGAACCCAATACGAGATTAATTAAAATTTAGAATAAAAAATAAAATAATATCCAAAATTAGAAAAATTAAAAGAGAGTTCAAGTAGGAATACAATTTTGAAACAACTGAAATTAAAAATAAAAAATAAAAACATTAAAAGAACACAATACGGTATTAACTAAAAGTTTTTTAAAAAATTTCTGAAATTAGAAAAAGAAAAATAAGATTTCAATTATCGAGCGACTTCTTCAATATGGTACTGCTCCGAAAAGTACTAAGCTACTATGAATCACATTTTATTAATGTTACACAGCTCTTACACATATTTTTCACTCCCTCATGACTTCAGGAACCGAATGAAGTTTTCAGACTAAAGGTCGCCGCCAACCTAATCAACACTACTCTAAATATAGTGCTTGCTGTCCACGACGACATCAGTCGTCTACATTCAGAAAATTTGTCCACATCTCAAGTTACAATGAAGCTTCGAAGCCAATTAGTGACATCTTTGAAACACTGTATTTCCATCTAGGGAACGTATCAGGTGGAAACCAGGGAAGCTGTGCAAACTTGCAAACTCTCAATCACATCCACAGGATGAGCATCCAATGGCTAGGGACAGAGATGGGCTAAATTTGCACTTAAGCGCCCGCCATTAGCCATACTAATCTTGCTTATTTTGCAAATCACTCCCTCCCCCTAATCCCAGCGCGCACGCCGCCTGCTCGTTTCTCCCGTCCCATCCGCGAGTCGCGCCTCTTCGTTTCTCCCGTCCCATCCACGAGTCGCACGTGAGTGGCTGCCGCCGTCGTACGCGAGTCGCCGCCGACCTGGCCCTCAAGTCACAGCCGCACGCCAGCAAGTTGGCATGGAGTCCTCGCCCGCGACGCCATGGACTCCGGCACAAGGAAAGGACGTACTGCCCCACCAGAGTGGCTTTGATGATTTGATGAACTCCGGTAAGACTTTCATGTCGTCGTAATTTTCTCGAATAAGACTTGTGCATCTTCACTTTGATAGAAATTAATCCGATCGTTGCCGTGGACGGTGAACCTGTAGTCGCTGTTGATTCTGCCTACGTTGAGGCCACCGCCATGGATCATGCCGTCATCACCGTTGAGGCCGTCGACGCCGGAGTTGTAGCCCACCTTGAACAACCAAGCACACCACAGCCAACATCTTCTCCAAGTATAGCAGAAAGTTGCAAAGAACATTTGAAGCCTATGGTTGGAATGATATTTGATACACTCACAGATGTGGAGAAATTTTACAAATCGTATGCACATGAAGCTGGTTTCTCTGTTCGTGTTGGTCAGCACAAGAAGCAAAATGAGGAAATATTATTCAAGCGGTATTACTGTTCAAGGGAAGGGTACATAAAGGAGAGAGTAAAAGATGTTAGTGATGAATCCGGAAAAAAAAAAAGAAAGACACCATATATGATGGAAACCAGATGTGGCTGTGAAGCACATATTGTTGTCAAGCTTGGCAGTGATAAGAAGTATCGAATATCTTCAATGATTGGGGAGCACAGCCATGGTTTTGTGTCACCAGATAAGAGGCACTTGCTAAGATCCAACCGTACTGTTAGTGAGAGGGCAAAGAGTACTTTGTTCAGTTGTCATAAGGCTAGCATTGGCACGTCCCAGGCATTTCGACTTCTCCAAGTCAGTGACGGTGGATTTCAGAATGTTGGGTGCACACTGAGGAATTTGCAGAACTATTACCATGACCTGAGGTGCAAAATCAAGGATGCTGATGCACAAATGTTTGTGGGACAACTTGAGCGAAAGAAGGAAGTAAACCCTGCCTTCTTTTATGAGTTTATGGTGGATAAACAAGGACGACTTGTTCGTGTCTTTTGGGCAGATGCCATTTGCAGGAAAAACTATAGTGTTTTTGGTGATGTGCTTTCGGTAGATTCAACATATAGCACTAACCAATATAATATGAAGTTTGTGCCATTTACTGGAGTCAATCACCACTTGCAAAGTGTTTTCCTTGGGGCATCATTCTTGGCTGATGAAAAGATTGAGTCATTTGTATGGTTGTTTCAAACCTTTCTTAAGGCTACGGGTGGAGTAGCACCTCGTCTAATCATAACAGATGAAGATGCGAGCATGAAGGCTGCTATTGCTCAGATTCTACCAAATACAGTTCATAGACTTTGCATGTGGCATATCATGGAAAAGGTACCTGAGAAGGTCGGGCCCTCCATAAGAGAGGATGGTGAGTTCTGGGATAGATTACACAAGTGTGTTTGGGGATCCGAGGATTCAGATGATTTTGAGTCTGAATGGAATTCTATCATGGCAAAATATGGGCTCATTGGAAATGAATGGTTTTCCACAAAGTTTGATATTCGACAATCATGGATTCTGGCATACTTTATGGACATACCTCTAGCGGGAATCCTTAGTACTACATCACGATCGGAGAGCGCAAATTCTTTTTTTAACCGTTTCATTCATCGAAAATTGACCTTTGTTGAGTTTTGGCTAAGGTTTGACACAGCTTTGGAGTGCCAACGCCAAGAGGAGTTGAAAGCCGACAATATAAGTCTTCACACCAATCCAAAATTGATGACACCATGGGACATGGAGAAGCAATGTAGTGGCATATATACACATGAAGTTTTTAGTAAGTTTCAGGAACAACTCATAGTTGCAAGAGACCATTGCATTATTCAAGGGATTTCGAAGTCCGGAGATATGAAAATTGTCACCATCAGTAGCCTATTTGAAAAAGAACGAGTGGTTCAGATGAATAAGTCAAACATGTTTGGTACATGCTCGTGTAAATTATATGAGTCCTATGGCATCCCATGCCGTCATATCATACAAGTGCTTAGAGGCGAGAAGCAAAATGAGATACCATCGATTTATATTATGAAGAGATGGGAGAAAATATGTAAACGGTGAGTTTGTACGGCTGTTTTGTTTTCTATGGCTGTTTTGTTTTCTATGTGCAATAGTTTTGATCAGATCTTTAATTTCACAGAGAAATGTTCTTTGATGACGAAGGTAACCTTCTGGATGAAAAGGCTAAAGATCCTATGGAGGTGGCAATGCGGAAAAAAATTTCAGATTCACGCAACAAGTTTTAAGATCTTATCCAAATGGCCAAGAACTCTGAACAAGGGATGGAGTTTTTATATTCTAGTTTATCCGACCTTGTAGAACCTCTCCAAAAGATCATTCCTGCTGCTATAGTTAACAAACAAGATGAGTTTGAATCATTCCTTGGTAGCAAAATTCCAGATGAAGTCGAGATACATCCACCAAATATCAAGTCCAAAGGGCCATGCAAAAGAATTAAGAAGAGCAAGGAGAAGAAGGCACCAAGAAAACGCAAGTGTGGAAAATGCAAGCAAGTAGTGGATCATGATGCACGAAATTGCCCAAACAACACTGTTGGCTGATTGTAAACAACTTTTTATACTAGTGCTAATTTTCATGGTGTCAGTGAATTATATAGCATGGATTTTTGCTTGTTTTGGTACTGATCAGTGCTTGAAAAAAATCAGCATGAATGTTTCAGTGTTTTAGAGATTGTAAACACCTTGTAAAATTTCAGCATGAATTTTCAATGATATGACCCTTCTGGTAGAAGCAACTGAGATACAATTTTTCAATGTTTCAGTGTTTCAATTTCACATACAATTGCTGAATCATTAAAACACACAAGTTTATTACATAGGAGGCACCATTGCTGAATTACTAAAAAATCAGCATGAATTTTCAATGATATGAGCCTTCTAGTACAAGCAACTGAGATACAATTTTTCAATGAATTTTACACACAATGCTCCACACACAAGTTCATTACATAGGAGGTACAATTGCCATTACAGAGCCTTTTGTTCAGGCATTACAGTCCCAGACGAGGATGCCTTTTGTTCAGGCACAATTGCCATCACTCAATTTCTGATCCAGTACTAACTGAAGTCATGGCAGGACTGCCCTTGGGTGCCTGCTGCACATGTGTCACGTTGCCTCTCACTGCTCATGGAGTCCTAGTAATCGTTGGCAGTGAAGCCCCTTCTCAATTTTTGCCGGTGATGCGTAGCTTCCAGTTAAGTGCTGCTGCCGACGATGCGCCACGCTGCTGCCCGTGGCTCCAGCCATACCCTACAGAACTGGGAAGTGACGCCACCATCGAGGACATCTCCCTGGCGGCCGCCAGCAAGGCCACCTCTGACGACCACCGCATGGCTGGCGAAGCCCAACGCGGGGCTCATGAGGCGGCGCGGCGGATCTGAGGCGGCGCGGCAGATCGGAGGCTGGTTGGATCGCGAGTTGTGGGGAGACGATACAGGCGCAGGGGGCTCGGGCGCAAAACTGACGGGAGGCGGATGGCGCAGGGGGTGTTTTGCAAAACAGACAGAGGGGCTGGCGGGCGGTTTTTTGCAAATTTAGCCCATCTCTGTCCCTAGCCATTGGATGCTCATCCTGTGGATGTGATTGAGAGTTTGCAAGTTTGCACACCTTCCCTGGTTTCCACCTGATACGTTCCCTTCCATCTAAGTGTATCTATCTAAACTTTTCTATTATGCAACACTGTTTTTCCATCTAGGTTATTTCCAATCAATTATCAGCCATGTATTCAAAACTACTATCTCTATTTTCCAAGCTCCGGTCCATTGTAACATTTCTTTCAAACTGAAAGGAAGAACAAGTGCTGGATGTTACCTTACTAGGCTTAGCTTTTTTCCATCTGCGCGAAAGGAAATACGCCCGCATCACCTCAACCTTCGCCGGGCCTCAACTCTTCGCAGTGTAGCACATCGATCTTCCGGTTCTTCTCCACAACACCCACAGCACCTCATGCAGCCGCACCTACGCCACGACACCCGCAGCACCTCATGCAGCCGCATCTCCCCACCGGTGCTTCGTTTAGAACACCAGACCCATCCTTCCCTCCACCTATCGCCTCCATTGCTCCAAGGGGAGCACGAGCGGATGGAGGCGCGCTGGTTCCAGATCTAAGCGCCATCCCTCCATCCCCTGCGCCGGCGGGAGCAACGGCACGCCGCACGCGCCGATCGACCGGACCCATCCCTCCATCCCCTGCACTGGTTCCAGAGGGGAAAATCCCTATGTGTGCGCCAACAAATCGTAGAGAAAGGAAAGAAAACAAATCAGGGAGAAAGGAAAGAGATGCCTCGGTGCGACAGAAAGGAAAGAGATGGCTCGATCTGATCCCGGCGGAAATCAGAGACCCCTTCTCCCTCGATACGCGAAATTACCCCCCCGCACGCGCGTGGTACCCCGCTACCAATCCAACCTTAGCCGTGGCAGATCGACGGTAAAAATTCTGTATTTTTTAGGTTAATAAACTTCACTCGTTTTCCTTATGTGTTTCTTTTTTTTGGTAGTCACCAAGAATGACACACCTAGTCCAGAGGTGATGGCCTACTGTCTCTGCTAAGAACTACTCCCTTTGTCCTATAATATAAGGGATTTTGAGTTTTTGCTTGCACGGTTTGACCACTCGTCTTATTCAAAAATTTTGGAATTATTATTTACTTTTTTGTGACTTACTTTATTATCCAAAATACTTTACGCACAACTTTTCGTTTTTTATATTTGCATATTTTTTTTAATAAGACGAGTGGTCAAACACTATAAACAAAAACTCAAAATCCCTTATATTATAGAACGGAGGGAGTATTGAACTTAATGAAACATCCACGTATATGTAAAAGTGGTTTTGCTTGTTGCTCTTGAAACAGCTTTCACCAGGAACCACAGTAGATCCGCAGGGGCTAGAGCATGCACTTGAATATATTCGAGAAAACTATGGAAACTTGCCACTATATATCCAGGAAAATGGTCGGTAGTCCTTCAATAATCTGTAACACTCTCATAGTCACCATTTCCATTGTTTACTTGAAAGTTCAGAAATATTACTTCTAGCTCACATTCTGTCATTCATATCTATTTTTTTCAATAATGGAAGTTTTCTGTCATTAATATCTATTTTGGTGGATATAACAATTGGCATTGCATCAGGCAGTGGAACACTGGATGGAACCCTGGATGATATGGAGAGGATTGACTGCTTGGCAAAATATATAGCGGCCACACTAAAAGCCATCAGGTGCTCGAGAATTATGTTTTACTGATTCTACTCTCTCTAGTAACATTTCCAATTTCCATACACACTTAGGTACAAATCTGCACCTAATCACAAGATTTCACTCATAGATCTTACTAAGTTACCAGTGAACGACTAATTGATCCATATGATCGCAGGAATGGTGCGAATGTGAAGGGATATTCCGTTTGGTCATTCATGGATCTCTACGAGTTATTTGGTGGATATAACACTTGGCATTACGGACTTATTGCCGTCGATTTCAGCAGCGCAGAACGGAGAAGGCAGCCGAGGCGCTCTGCTAGCTGGTACTCAGACTTCCTGAAGAACAATGCTGTCATCAGGGTGGAGGATGGCTCCTCTGTCTCTGCAGCTGCTCATGCTCAACTCTGAGTGCTGCCTCTCCCAAGTCCCAAACCATATGTATTCTATTCTCCCAGTGATACGATGATGTATTTTTCAGTATTCAAAGTTGAGAAGTTGTGAAGGTGTACTACTCTGCAATGTGCAAGCTACTGGGAGTTCTTGCTGCTATATTTCTTCAGTGCAGAGTGGTGTACAAAATTTCGTTCATGATAGATAACACATAGAACGGATGATTGGTGATTGGCTACTCTATATGATAGTTTGCCACAAATTTTAAAGTGTCCCAAAGTAAATTATGCCCAAAATAAAAGACATCCTAGTATTTTTCATGTAATAATTTGTTGGGTTTAGTCCCACATCAGTAATTGATGTCAGGAGAGCACGACTTAAAAGGTGGAGGCAGTCCTCACCCATTAGACTAATCTTTTGGGTTGTGTAGTCCTATGACCTAAAGTTGTGATTCCGGTTGGGTCTATGGTGGAGCAGACCCAATATATGTGAACTGGGTGGCCCACGGTTGGTGGGCTGGGTTGCGCACTCTAACAAGTGGTATCAGAGCCCAGATTTGAAATCCGAAACGATTTCCATGGGTCACATGGGTCGATGTGACGGGGGAGATTGTTGGGTTTAGTCCCACGTCGGTAGGGTCACATGGGTCGATGTGACGGGGGAGATTGTTGGGTTTAGTCCCACGTCGGTAGTTGATGATGCGGAGCACGACTTAAAAGGTGTTGTGACGATTTGAAATCCGAAACGATTTCCATGGGTCACATGGGTCGATGTGATGGGGGAGATTGTTGGGTTTAGTTCCATGTCGATAATTGATGATGCGGAGCACGACTTAAAAGGTGTTGCGACTTCGGTTGGATATGTGGTAGAGCAGGCCTAATGTAACCATATGTACTTCAAGTGCAAATCTTCACCTATAATAATAACTTCAGAAAATCTCAGTCATGGATCTTACTGGTGATCGAATGGCTGACCAACCGATCGATTGGATCGTAGGAATGGCGTGAATTTGAACGGATACTCCATGTGGTCATTCATGGATCCCTACGAGTTGTTTGGTGCATATAACACTGGGCATTATGGACTTGTTGCCGTCGATTTTAATAGCGCAGAACGGAGAAGGCAACCGAGACGCTCGGCTAGCTGGTACTCAAACTTCCTGAAGAACAATGCTGTCATCTGGGTGGAGGATGGCTCATTTGTCTCTGCAACCTCTCATGCTCTCAACTTTGAGTGCTGCCACTCCCAAACCATCCTATTATCCCAATGATATGATTATGTATTTTTGAAAGGTGGAATGCTCTTCAAAGTGCAAACTACTCAGAGTTCTTGGTGATGCTGTCTTCAGTATAGAGTGGTATGCACAAAATTACATTAATGATAAGAACACATAAAAAGGGTGATTGGAGATTGGCTACTACCTGTGATAATTTGCCACCACATGTTTTAATAAAATGTGTTGATTGTATACCACATAGTCTCCTAAGAAAAAAAAACTCGAGACTCCTAAGAAAAATGGGACAAATACCGGTAACATGCAAGGAATCTCGTAAATTTAAAATTTTCAAAATAATTTTATATTTGGTTTTTAGGGTTTTCCCATCACCAATCCTTTTTCCACATTGCCTTTTAAATCGATAATAATAAATAAATAAAAGTTAACCTATAAATTATTTTTTTTGTTACTTCATTCATTTTCCTTTATGGCTTACCGGTTGAAGCTCAGCCGGTCAGATTCACCCTTTATATACCCTTATCTGGAAGATACTCACTCTGTTCCAAAATATAAGAACATACAAACGGATAAGTCATTTCCTACTGCTACGGATTTGGACAGGTAGGAAATGTCCCATTTGGTCATTCAGTCTTCGGTTCTTATATTTTTGGACGGAGGTAGTATAAATTTGTCTCAATTTGTGCAGGAATTGAATTGGTTCCTACGTAAAATCCTTTTAAATCTTGGGTGTGATGAGGCCTTTGAATGAATTCCTGATTCCTGAATGGAATGGAAACATAATAAATGATGAAAAGTATGGGGTTATTATTTGGCTTGGGCCGGCCCATGTAGGGGCCCAACCTAGCCGAATAAAACCCCGTTGCTTCCCTCCCTTTAAAGTCCCTAGTGTCGCCACCCACAGCCTCTCCCCCCTCTCTGACGGCGCCGCCGCACGACACGACAACCAACCGAAGCCAGCCTCTCCCGCCGCCTTCGCCGCCGCCACCGTCGCCGCCGGACAGGTACCTACCTTGCTTCCTCCCCACCCTCTTCCTTCCCCAGGTCTCGGCCATCGTATTGGCGCTTGCGGGCGCTCGCGCGGGCTCGCTAGCTGCATGCCGATCAAGAGCGAGGCGAGCATGTGTCGATCGTTGTTTGTTTTGTGTGTGTTCATTCCTGCTCTGTTCTAGCTAGCTAGGACTAGAGCGCCTGCTCTTGCTGCTTTTGGTGGCGAAGTGAAATCTTGCGACGGCCGGCGGCGGGAGATGGCCGTTGCCGTTTGTAATGGTCTGTCGGCCGCCGCCGCCGTCATATTGTATGGTATGGTATGTCGGATGGAGGCTATAGGGCGGTGGGATTGAGATTTGATCGGCGGCGGTCGAGTTCCGACTTCCGACTTCCCCCAGTAGCTAGTGCTTGTTCACGATAGCGGTGGAGCCACCTCCCCGTTGGTTCGGCCGTGCCGCCGTCTCCTCTATCGACTAGAGCCATCGTTTAGCTTATCTGCCGAATAAGCGAAACGGTATATTTTTGCAAACGAAAAGTAATTTGTCAATAAAACTTTTATATACATACGTGTTTTTAGCAATCTAAAAGCAAAAGCCGAAAAATAAACTTCGATGAAAAAAAATCTTAAAATCAACGCTAAATTTAAGGTTGAAAATTCAAATTTTAGCTGATAAGCATAAGCATAAGCGAAAAGAAGAGGCCATAGAAATTAGTCGATTATCGAAAAATGCTACTACATTAATTGTTCAGGCTTGACGAAGCCGCTGGCTCTGCCACTCTCCTGTCCATGGAGATGTTACTAGTATCCTTCCGGTTAATTACTGGGTATATAGCTAGATATACTCCATATACTGGGAGGTTTTGGCAAAGCTAAGCTAGCTAGGTTCTTTATAGAAAAATAAATGGAAATGAAAAAGAAAATCAGTTCTTTGTATTGCCGATTTGGTTTTGGTTGCGCGTTTCATATTCCGTGCTCTTTGTTGTGCCGCAGCTGCCTGGTTGAGATTCAATTGCAACCTTACGAAAAAAAATGCGAGATCTTTTGCCAGCTGCGCGCTGATCGATCGGCAAGCTTGGATTTCTTGGCTGCCCCGTGCGACTTGCGTTGCATCCATGAGCCTGTTAATTTCATCGTTAAATTTCTCTGGGCATTATTCCTCCCATTATTCCACCTGTAGCTGAAGCTACTAGTTAGTACTACCCTTGTAAACCTTGTTTGGTTAGACTAATAGTATTAGGAACTCACCTCATATATTTCTTTTCTTCTCCTGAATAGCATTGCTGTTACGTTCAGAAGTTCAGTCTGCCAGCCCTTTCTGCTCGAAAATCCATTTTTGCCCAGTACTCCGTACCTTTTTTTTTGGTTCAGATAGCCTCTATCCAAAAAGGGAAAAAGAGAAAAGAAAAGAAATCCATGGGCTTGTAAGGCGCGGCCCAAATAGGCCCATGTGAGAGGCCCATTAGGGTTACTCGTATTGCGTGCGCCACCGCATGCGTCTCTCTTGGCTTGTTTTTCTTCTTTTTTTTTTCTCCTCCTTTTGCTGTGCTTTGGCTCGTGTTTACTCTTCTTCTTTTTCTCGCCTCCCGCGAGCTTCTCCCTCCGCTGCTCAGCTGCGGCGGCCGCCGCCACCGCCGCCGCCGCCGCCGCTAGCCCTCGCGTTTTGCACAGAGGCCAGCATTCGCCCGCGCCGCCGCTGGCTCTCTCCCTTCTCCTGCTCTGCGATATACGACGCAGCCGCAGCCGCAGCCGCCGCGGGGAGGAGCAGGAGGGAGGAGTGTGTGTGGCCGCCTTCCTCTCCTCGCCGCCACGGCGGCCGTCGCCGGAGGGAAGCGTCCGGTGCCTCTCCAACCAAGCTGGCCACTGGGTTAGTTGCGAGGACTTGGTTCCAATGTTTTTTCGAATTCGATCGCTAGCTCGGCGGGAGATAGATGAACCCCGCGTAGCTGCTCTCGTGGATCCGGTTAGTGATCCGTAGGTATCTAGACGGCAATGGCGCCACTGGGAACTGTGGAGATGTGCGTAGAGGCTCGAGTGGTGGAATACTAAGTGCTCGTGAGTAAATTTCTGGGAGGCGGTGAGCCTGTGGAAGCTTTGTGTTTCGACTGCTTGCTAGAAGAAATGGAGGATTAAGTCTGGTGTAGAATAGCTCCATCTGTGATATATATTTAGAGGGTTGATTTATCTGAATCTTGAGCCATTTGCAATGTGGATAATTCAGAGGTGTCTACATTTCAGTTTGTTTTTTATGCTGTTGCTACTTAGACCTAGATGGTGTGAGTTCACTTGCATCTACTTGTAGAGGCTGTTTCAGTTGTAGGTGTCCATAGGTCCATCATTAGCGAGGTAACTTTGTGTCACAATGTTATTTTTTTTTACATAAGTCTCACAATGTTATTACGGGTGTTTCTTTTCTAAGTGCTATTTTCCAATGTACAGTGAAGTGTGATGTGGATGAAGATATTATATTTTTTTTTAATATTCCTTTATACTGCATACCTGTTGTGTGACTGTTCAGTTGGCTTTGAATAAAATTCTAGTTCAAACTGTTTGATTCGGATTGCTATTTGAGGATGATGCTATCAGTTGGCCATATTCGAATTATTCTAAATATTGAACTACTGTGGTGATTGGTTGCCAAAGTTGATAACCTAGGTCCTTGCTGTTACATGATGCAAAGATAACCATGGTCGATTGATTTCATGTCCACATATGTAGTTCAAATTTTGTCTTTCCCACATGCTACATTCCCATGTATTTGAAACATTATTTATCACAAGTTTTGCTGACAATTTCTCTTCTTAATTGTAGCAGTATAAATGGAAGTTGGTGCCAGCTCTATAATGGAGGATGCCAACGGAGTAGTCGATTTGGATGTTGACATTGTTGGCCTAGAAAGTGGTGCTGCTTGCAGCAAATTTGTCAAAACTGAAGATCCTGATGCTACAGAGTGTTCAAGTTCTTTTGGGGACACTCTGTCAGGGTCAGAAGATGATGCAAGGCCTTCAG